AGGGATTATCCTGCTTTCATTGCTTATCAAAGTCGGTTCAGGTAGAATGAGAGAAACATCTATACAAGATAGGTTGACATTTGACAGCTCAAAAGGCGGATGCTTTATATCCTGATCTGAAAGCCAAATTATATAAACTATTTTCTTGATATTTTCTTATCATGAAAATATGTAGTACAGAAACTTTCAGTATGATGGATAAATATTTTGGCCGTATCTTTAAATCACACAACAGTACAGTAAATTATCATTATATTATTTTAAATGATGTAGTGTCCAAAGTATCCTGTATGAATTTGCTTAGATGGAATAAATGAAAGTAAGGAATTCGATTATTGTTTTGTAAATACAAATGCTTTAGAAGGTGAATTTGAATCAGGATCTCAGCATGCTCAGATAATGGATCAGTTGTTAATTGGTCGTAAACACCACTATTGTCTCTTTCCAAAAATAATAATACATTTGAGCTCTCGCATATAGGTTGGATTTGGCAAAATATACACCAAGAGCTTGTGCTACGACAAAGTCCAGCAGTACTTAACACCCAAACAGATGCTTCTGAGGAAATTCATCAATTCACTTAAATATACTACGCTGGAATGACTTATTTGGCTATAACCCTCTTAAAAGTGCTTCAGATAGAAGCACCTGACCTGAATCTCTGAAATGATGCTAGTAATGAATACACTTTTAAATGCCCCTTTCAATGAAGTTGTAGAATGATACGAAAAAATATAGTTTACGAAACTAATAAAATTGTAGAGCCAAGTGTCTGGTTAGGTTAGGGGTATTAAGAATTGTCATTAAGTCAAATGAGTGTAAACCCCAGCTACTACATCTTTTCTTAGGTTTTAATTATGAGGACTGTGAGAAATATATTTCCTACAGAAAACAATCTTTTGCATTGACGAAAAAAATTAATGAACAACATCTGTTGTCTCCAAATGTACTTTAGCTAGGGCTGAGAGTCGAGAGATGCGCTCCTCTTGAAACCCGAAGGCACTATAGCCTATAAAATTGCTTAGTCTTTGGGCCAACATTTTTTGGGCTCAGAATTAGGATGGGGTATCGCAAATTGACCTGAGGGGAAATATACCATTGAGACCTATTGTAAATTAAAATTTTATAACAGATCATGCCTACCTAAGTAAGGCTTAAATCAATTGATTTTACGTCCCAAGTATAAATTTAAGCATTTACAGCACTTTATGAAGACAGCTTTTCTGTCGAAGTGTAAGAAAAGCTCTTAAATATGGATGTCTCTCGTTATTTCACTTGCCAATTTGCACCTTACCTTTTAAACTAAGCTTACATAGAGAATATCTTGAGCCGTCTTTCATGCGTGGTCTAAGAAAATAGGTTTTGGGCCAATTAGTGGTAAAATCAAGAAATATAAGCGAATAGTTAAGAAATTTTTAATAATTTAGATGAAGTAAAGAGATTTATTAAATTTATAAGTAAATGAAAAACTGCATGAAGGATCGAGTAAAGATAGTACTGGACTAGCCTAAGTGACAATATATATTTATAGATATGTATTCGTCTGGCCTTACTTTGGGAATAAAAAAACTCCCTGAATTTCTCATAAAATGAATTCTAAAAATTCCATTAAGCGAATGAAAATGTCGGCATATTATATAAACATGAATATAAATAAATAATTAAATAAATATATGGGCTGTATATGAGTTGTGAGAAAACACCGAGAGGAATCCTTGTTACTATTCTGCTTTTGTCTTGATAGTCAATAATATATAAGGGTGTTTTGAATACCACTGAACCAGGAAATAAATTTGCTATACGTGATATGACTTTTGGAATCGCAGGAGCCAAAAAGATCGATAAAATGATGTATTTATAAGGGAAAGATGAGCCTCTTATATGTGGCAGATAAAATTGCACGGGCACATCCCAACTAAGAAAACCGACAAGTTAAATAAAGATTTAATAAAGTATTTGGGAAGTGGTGGGAGTTTAATTGCAATGAAGTCGTGGATCTAATCCTGGTCTATTAAGACATCTTTATATCAGGATCTTAAAAATTGAAGAAAATGCTTAAGATAGTACATTATTTTTACCTATTAAACAATAGGGAGTTATGCCCCAAGAGACTCTGATTTGAACTAAGTGAAGTAAGAATTGTCAAAATGCTTTTAAAATTAAAAACAATAACCCCTTTCAACTGATTTAAAAATATACTAATGTTCCAGCTATCTGAAAGCACTTTTCGAATGAACTAGCTTTATACAAGACTGCAAGTGAAAAATATATTAGATTATAATAGCATATACAGGATTTATCAATGAGAGGAATACGAATCAACAAGATAGTGGGGGAAAACGTGCATTTCTAAAGCCGAATGCCTAAAGTCAGCACTGTCACAAAACATTGCATTTGCCCAAAAAGAAGAGTGGAGTCAGAAAAGAAAAATATTTTAAAATTAGACAGCAGCTAAAGAATGATATGGAGCTTTATTTTTGTGGCACTATAGATAGCTGTGTTAGTACTGATATATATATATATATATATATATATATACGAATAGGAATATGTTATCAATGTAAGTTAATAAGAAAAATCTTCAAATGTAATGCGAAAATTTTAGCTTTAACCTAATGTTGACAGAAATGCAGATAACACTAGAAGAAATCCATGCAATTTATCCATATTTTGCTCATACTAAAAAGAATGTAGAAAAATTGATTTAAAATCTAGTCTGGGAAACTTTAGGTTAGCAAATACTTTGACTTGACAAGCCCTGTACTTTTAGCGATAAGATCTCTCGGGAAAGATCTAACTTACTTGGTAAGCTAGGGGTTGTAATAGTTAGGAAAAAGAAATATATCTTAGCTTTGTAAGGAATTCTGTTTCTTTCAAATATGCAATTCTTAATAAGAAAATGTAGAACTTGCATACATCATAATGTTGTGGAACAGTAGTAGACTTTAATTCAGAGTGTATCTGATGGGTATATTTTATTATAGACAGAAGATTTAAAAGCGAGAGTAATCTAAATTCAGCGCTGGTAGAAGGTTCTTTTTGAGAAAATGCTTAGTTTATTAGTCATTGCTCATAAACACATAGTACGTGGGAGGTTTTATTAACGAAAAATATCAAGTATGCAGTAATCAAACTTGGCACAAGTATAAGAATGAATTTTAAAACATGCTTCAAGCAATTCAGCCTTCAAACTTAGAAATATTCGGTATCAGCCCCAAAAGCGTTAAGCATCAAACAATTATTACGCTCTGCCAAATAAACGATGCTAATTATTTGTTATTATGTAAACAAGCAGATGAAGATATTTCAGGCTAGTCACTAATTAATATAGGATTAAAGCGATTTAGTAATTATTCATAGCGGGGAATTTAGTCAAAGTATTTATAGACACAAAGACTAGCATCATGTTTCGTAAAAATGATTATTAAAAACCCCAACATTCTTAGGTTATTGAAATATCAATTTTCAAAGTAAAACGACACTACTTTTAAGCTAATGCAAGACTTAAGGTTAATTGGTTAGGAGCTAGCAGCAAAAAAACATTATAAATTTACTTATCTATATAGTTAATCAGATGATCAAAAAACAAAGACAGTTTGTAAAAATTATAAGTAGGAGTTAACCCCTAATTTTTAAAGCTTCTTTGGCTCCTATTGCATACTGGATGATAAGCTTCCTGTAAACGTATGAAGATATTTTACAAGTTTTCTCAATAAAAGCTGAAGTGATAAATCTTACTTAGAAAGAGAAAAAATAGTTTTTAGAACCATGGAACTTGCAAAATATGCTCTTATATAGTCACACAACAATAGATATAGCTAGCTCCACTCTTATCCGCTTTTCCATATTCTAAAAGACCAATGTATTTGTAAAATTATTCTTTAATAAATTTATCTATAATTTGTCCACTGATCCTAAAATATGCCTTCCTATATGGTTGTATGCAACTTGCCCAGCTATGCGTGCGTAACCAATAGTAAAAAGTAAGAAAAAATCTAATATATATTTTTAATTAGACAATTTCAAATTAAATTATGTATTTTTTTTAATAAAAAATAAATTTATCAACTAATCGTGTCACCATTGAGTGTAAGCTTAAGAGCTTAAATAGGTTTGCCAAGGGCTTAACGTCGATAACATCGCTAGACTAGCCAGGTTAGCGTCGTCATAGCAACTATAACAATTCTATCATGATCTATTTTCATTGATCACTTATTTTACTTCTAAACTCACATACCTCTAGCTTCTACAATATTACTTCATTCATGAGTCCCTAAAAGATTTTAACCCCGTGGTCTGTCAGACCAAGCTGTAGAAATCCTAGATTAACTGGTGAATATAAGCAAAAATGCCTGTAGGTTGGGCGAATAGGTTGTCAAAGAGACAAGCAGACGAGTTGTAGCTTGGTGTTGAGGATGGCAAGACTCACTGAAGATGCTGACTACGATGCCGGTAAAGCCAAATCCACAGTCCGATGCTTGGAATTATGATAGATACTATAACAGAGGACTTGTGACAAGGCGTGCCCAACAAAATCTCTCTAACAACACGACCAAGTTGCAAAAGCGAGGCCACAACATCTTGGTCTTTACACTTATGCTTAAAATGCCAGTGTTTTACTGTCGATAGGGATGCTAGTGAGACCCAAGTGTGATCGAACTTGTATTCTAGCCCGGATGCGAATACCTTTTGGAAGACAAGGCTAAGTAAAATTCGGTGGCATAGTGGGACCTACTCAGATAATTGTAGAAAATTCAACTGTCAGTCTTCCATCACATTATGTGACCTAGAGAGAATACAGCTCTAATTCAAGAGTTACAGATAGTCTTGAAACCCACAAAATGTAGATGTAAAAAATAGGTGAGAATATTTACTCCAAACTACTGTCTGCCCATAGGCGTCTTTATAAAGAATTGCAAACAAGTGGTCTAAGAAAAAAGACTATATACGAATTAAATTTTAAGCATCATAAGTAGCTTTTCTAAAAAATGTGTCTCCTGTCAGAATAAGGGAACCCTTACCCAAAGCTTCTGCAGAAAAATATAACAATCACCAACCTGAGAATGTCCGGTGACCAGCTGCCGGCAAAGCAAGCATTTCTTGAGTAGTCTGGTGCAGGCCAGACAAGTGACCATGTGACCGCATGGCTCAAGAAGACAGCTACGATCCACCGCTGAACAGACAAGGCACTCTCGCTTCTCCTCCGGGAAACGGGCCAACGGCATGAGCAATGCTAATTGATTGAGGCTAAGATAGAGATTAGGGCGACGACGAACCATGGATTGAGGTAAGCTATGCGCTTCTCCTGTGGACTGGCAGCCTCTTGGCTTTTCTTTGGAAAGTGAAGTGACGCCTTCTGAAGTTGAACCAACGAGATGGGCTGTCCGAGGAAATGGAGCAGTAGAATGCATCAGATTGTTTTCGATGGCCAGGTCAGATGAACTATTCCCAACCGTACTCGGCGTGGACATGTAACTATTCAGTCCGCTCGGAACAGCAGCAGAGAGCAAAGTGTTGCTTCCGAAATTGCTACTGCTACCTGCTGCCGAAGAAGAAGAAGAAGAAGAAGGCAAAGCGGTAGATGGCAGACTGGCAACTGTCGAAAGCGATGGAGAAACTGAGATCAGGCGGTATAACTCATCGGCAAGGCAAACTGGGACCAGAGTGTCTAGCTCGGAAATCGTATGCCTTGGAGGCTGGGCCGAGGTGGCTGGCGAGGGATCAGCATCGTCAGAAGAAGCCAATCGTGAGGAAGTGGTATTTACTGCTACGACTGAATCACAGCAATTTGGTGTAATAATTTCAGGCATAAGCGGAAATCGATGGGGCGGTGTTGAGATGTGAGGATTCGGCAACATCGACTCAACGAGTCCCAGAGGAGCGGTTTGGCCGGATTCTGAAGGCCCTGTTGAAGGAGGAAAACTATCGCTTGGCGACTGGGAGGTGGCTGCCACCACGGCGGTGACGCCCCCCATGTAACACTGATGCATGGCGACGCGAAGTACTGAATCATTACAGTCGGCAAGCGCTTCACTAGCCCGTACTGCTTCGGTGTAGCTAGCCTGCTCAGCACCCAGTGCAGACGCAAGACAGGCAGCGATTAAAACCTGTGGTGAGACTCCAGCCTCTATTGTGGCCTATAGATAAAGGTGCAGGGTAAGAACGGTGAATAGTGAGTTTTGAGCGAAGAAATATTTAATGAAAATATAAGAAGATGGAGGATTAGCAGACTTTTCTCTCAGAAAGGATAAGTTACTTCAATAACCTGATGTCTTTAAAGTCAATAGTGTAATATTGCGTGAAATATAGCCAGATTAAGTGTTAGTCTTTATAAAACTTTGATAGTTGGGTGGTTAAAAGAAGTAGTACCTCTAACGAGGAATTCATTAATGATTATGCAGACATTTAATAAAATTCGGGACGAAAAGATCTGAAAAAATCTTTCGGATATAATATTTAGGAATGACTATATCCTATCACAATTTAATTATGCAAATAAGTTGACACAAATATTGAAAACAAATTGTTGAATTCGACATAAATATTATTTTTAAAACCCAAGGAATATCATTAGTTGATATGACGAGAAGTTGGACTTCTAAAAATCCTCTAATAGATCAATGTTGGGTCACCTTTCATTTATTTAATTAAAAACCAAGACGTGATTCTCAAATTAGCCTCACAGGAAATCGAAAGGACTTGTCTTTCAGTTGTGACTACTGGAAGGTGCAAAGAATACTTCAATTAACAGTCTTGCAACCTTGTATTCGTCGAAGTCAATTTAAGAATCCTTTCCACCTATCCTTTTAAATAAAACGAAAGATGCATTCACATACCACCAGCTATTGTCGTAATTAGTAGGTTGGCGAGACTCTAATTAGATCGTGGAAAGAAACTGTGGTCACCCTAGGTGGCTTAAGGCGGCGAAGGACTGATAGTTGAATTTTACCAGAACGATACCGTTGAATTTCACTTAGACTTGCTTCTCAAAAGATTTCACTATTCAAGATTAACTGCATTTTGACCTCGATTGGGGCTAATATACGCTGCCAACGGGAATCAAACCCGGGTGGTGCGCGTAAAATGGCGACACATTACGACTGCGTCACACAGCCATGGATGCCACAGGGTCGCAGAACAGACGTGAAATTCAAAGCAAACACTTGCCTTCTCATAGTTAGATCGTGAATGAAGCGAACTCAGACTCTTCACAACGATTGATGACTTTGCGTATATTGATACCTATAAGGTTTCTATGCAATCATCAGTCATCCTAGATAGCTTATAGTGATGAAAGATTGATTGCCGAAGCTTCCCACTTTTAACCAGACAAGGCTAAGTGAAATTCACAAACATCGTGAGGCCTACTCCTCTCATCGTGGAAAAACCCGACTACCAGACCTGCACACGATATGAGACCTAAAATGGCGACAGTTCTCATTAGAGATCTACTGAGGTTATTTAAGCATACTAGTTATGAATATATAAAAAACTATCCTCTGTTTTCTACCTACTTTATCATAAATATGAAGAATGACGTTAATGAAGAATTTTCAAACTCAAATATTTGTTAGAGATTTATTAACTTAAACTTCTGTACAGAATGCTGTTCAAATTAAAGCCATTTCAGCAACAAATATTTTTAAGCTCTAGATAAAGAAATGTTTGCCTCCAGTATTTGTCTATGTTTACCCATGAGGGAGGTAATGAGAGATGGAGACAAAACATACTAATCTACTAAATAATAATCAAGCAGATGGTCATGCATTGGTGATCTTTAGCTTAAATCAGAGTGACTATATTTTGGGGGCAATTCAAGTCTATAGAAGAGAAGCCAAGAGATATTCAATTCATTATCAGTAATGTCAAAAGTCCATTAAAATGTACACGGTGATGAAATCTTATTAATTGTATTGATGGTATATTTTTGCTATTAATATGGCATAAAAATACAAAAAAATGCATAAAATTTTAGAGTACCTAAAAGAAAAATATAACTTGTGATAATAATGGTTTATTGCTTTTTTCAGGAGGGTTAA